AGTAACTTTGAGCCAGAGCGAAAACGGATGAGAACGACCAAGCACAAGGATTTAGAGACTGCTTTACTAGTTTGGTTCAAACAAGCAAGATCCCAGAATGCTCCCATATCGGGACCTACAATGCTAGAAAGAAGTAACGAACTTGCTAAACAAATGGGTATTACATTTTCTGCTAATCCTGGATGGTTGGAACTTTTCAAGAAAAGAAATGGCATAGTACTAAAAAAATGTCTGCGTTGAAGCTAATCAAGTTTTACTGACCATGACAGCAAATTGGTTTGAGTCTATGTTGCCTTCAATACTTGAAGAATATGAAGCAAAAGATGTCTTCAACGCAGATGAAACTGAATTATTTTATCGCTGCTTACCCAATAAAACTTCATCATTTAAGGGGGAATCATGTTCAGGGAGGAAACTGTCTAAAGAACGAATTACGGTATTGGTAGGATGTAATTCGGATGGTTCTGAAAAACCACCCTTATTTGTTATTGGCAAAAGTTTTGAAACCACGGCGTTTTAAGAAAGTGAAAATATTATTGGTCAAATACACAGCAAACAAAAAGGCATGGATGGTAGCTATGATGTTTATCAATTGGATTGTAAAGTTAGATGAGCGATTCTTAAGAGAAAAGCGAAAAGTTGCAATGATAATTGATAATTGTGCGGCTCACTCCAACATTGTATTGAAAGCTATAAAGTTTATCTTTTTGCCTCCGAATACAACAAGTGTCCTGCAGCCTTGTGATCAAGGGATTATACAAAACATGAAATTTTTCTACCAGAAGCAATTGCTTAGAAAATATTTACTCTCAATCGAAGCAAATGAAGATTTCTCGATCAATTTCTTAGATGCTCTCCATATGCCGTATTCTGCATGGAATTCAGTGACTCCAAGGACGACTGAAAATTGCTTTCCTCATGCAGGATTCTCAAAAGTATCAGATTCGTTGGCACCAAAAGAAATGGAAAAGGAAGATACTGAAACTGAGCTGCTACTCCATGAAATGTTTGAGAAAGTTTCTGCATTCTAGTGTATCATCGGAAGAATTCATTGCAGTAGATGATGACAATATGGGTACAGCCCCAATTATGACAGAGAGAGATGTTTTGGAGTTTGTTCAAAGTTCAAAAAATATCATTGATGCAGCTCCTGTTCCCACATCATCTGAAATGAGGAACATAGCAAAAAGTATGCGTAGTTATTTAGATGCACATTCCAATGGCGAAATGAATAACAAAATAGACGAGATCGAACAATTTGTTGACAGTTTGATGCTAAAAAAGACAATGCAAAGAAAAATATTAGATTATTTTCCAAAAACTCAATAAATGTTTTGTTTTTAAAAAACTTGAAAATTTTATATTAAATTTCATTTAGTTCTTGTGGATATTTTTGTTTCAATGATTTTTATTAATAACATGCATATATATATAAATAAAATGCACTCTAATAAACTTAATTTTGTTGAATATTTCTTTCTTTTTTTTTTTTTTTTTTTTTTTTTTTTTTTTTTTAATATCTTTTTTAACGCGAAATTTTAGTCCCTTCAGTTTTGTGTTAACTGATTTTCACTGTATATACATATATGTATATATATATATTGGGATTTAAGTAATTGTATTTCTTTAATTATTAATGAAGAAACATAGTTCCTCCCCAAATGAAAGTATTCTTTTAAATGTAGCCACACTGCAAATTCATTTTAGACTGAGAATTCAAACTAGATCAAAATTTTCTCCGCTCTTATAAACTGCATTATATTATTTCTAAATTATTGATAATTTATATACATGATTTAATTTTACTGTACATATTCCCATCAAAGAATCAGGGAAATAACAATCATATTTCCAAGGTGTGGTAATCAGAGAATATCAGAAAGGTTCTATACAAGGTGTTTATTAATGAATGCAGTTTTAAAAATTAATAATAAATTGATGTATTACTTTATATGGGCAAACCTTAAAGCATAAGAAGTGGCAACTGTCCAAATTTTTGCTGTATTAATCACAATGTTTCAAATGGTGCACCCTTGGTCCCACAACACACATCTACATGGTAATCAAATTCTTCCCATACTTGATGTATCATGTTCACTGCAATGGTATGCAGTGCATGCTTTATCTGATCACAAACTTCCTCAACAGATGCGAGCACTGGCGGTACATAAACTCAGCCTTTAATAAATTCCCAAAGAAAGAAATCATATAGTGTTAAGTCTGTTGCATGGGGTTGCCAGGGAAGAAGGTTGTTGTTTGCTGTTGCAGCATTCCAATCCAGTGTTAGTGAAAAATACGATTAAAAAGCTCTCATACATTCCCGTGAAAATGGGGCAGAGCACTGTCCAGTTGTAAAATGTAAAAATCATAACTGATGTCCAGCTAGAGTAAGAACCAGGTTTCGAACATGTCTAAAAATGAGTCACCAATGACAGTTTCTTGTTCAAAGAAAAATGGGCTGTGCACTTTCTCATGGGACAGCACACAGAAAAAATGCATGAAACTCACCCTGCAGTGAAACGACAGATCTGGACACTTCAAAACGGAGCACGCAGAAAGCCTTTCCCTGTTGTGGCACTATCTTGAAAACTGCCGCTGCGCCTGTGCAATAAGTATGACAAGCAAACTGCAAGTAATACATGAGAAACTTGAACATTACCAATACTTACTGTGTATGCTTTGTCGTGGGTAAGGTAACACATCGATTTATTATTAATTTTTAAATTAATAATTAATTTTTAAATTAATAATGCATTTATAAACACCCTGCATATACAACTTCAGTGAAAATCATAACATTGTTCAAAACATTTTACCATAACAAATAATTTCTTCAACAATTAAACGATACATTTCATCTGAAAGTTTTTTTAAAACATGTCGAAAGGAAAAGCAAATTTAATGCAGATTCTTGTTGCTCAAAACTGTCCTCTGGCCCTTCTCTTTAGGACCACTGTGTATTGTTGCATTACTTTCATCCATGCTGCTTTAAATTTTTCTCATTCCAATGCATCCAAGGCATCCTTTACAGTATTATATATATATATATCAATTAATTTTAACCGATGCCAAAAAAAAGGGAAAACATTTATAATAATAATTTATAATACATTTATAATGATGTCTATTCAAAACGATGTATGGTATTTTAACACACTAGAATAAAGTCAAATTATGCACAATCACTAACCAGAACAAATTTAAAGGAAAGGACAACTCAAATATTTTTATCTTATGACATTATAAGTGTTTGATAGGACCTCTTCAAGTCACAGGGACAACGCCCGCAAAATAGAGCATTTCTTCCAACAGTTTCAGCATGTCTGGCATTACTAAGTTCAGAGCATTACCTATGCATGTTTGTGGGTCTTCCAAGTTGCATAACAGTGGTGGCACAAACACTTTGTCTTTCACAAAGTCCCACATGAAAATGTTACATGAGGTATAACAGGTGTCCTGGATGACAAAGGAAATTTAACTTTTTCATTTGTTCTAGAGCTGCCAATTCGACAATTAGGAATCACATTGTTCAAATTCTAATAAATATAGTAAAAAAGGGGGGAAAGAAAAAAGAAAGAAAAGTGGGAGACAAAAGAAACAGCAAGTTTGTTTGCAGTTTGTTCAGAATCTACTAAACAGAAAACATAACAAAACACAGTTAATTCACATGCTTCAAGGTATGTAAATGAAAAAGGGGAGCCATACAGTATTTACGTATTTCTGTGATTAACTGCTAATTGTTCTGCTAAAGCTCTGTGTAAGCATGTTTTCAAAATTGCAAGTAAATTCAATTTTGAATCAAAATTTATTGAATAGCCTTATAATGAAAGCAGTACAGAAATGAGTTATACAAATTCTGTTTTTCTGTGTTTCAAGTGTTTTTCTGTTAATTACATTACAGGTTACTGCTCTTTCAAGAGTTTTTTACCAGGCTTTGGATTAACCAAGATTTTGAATTAACCACAAATATCATTTCCAGTATTATTTCAAGTTAATTTAAAGTTTACTGCACTTCACAAAAATATACACATAACACACAGCAGACAAATGAATTATCTCCAAAGGGAATCTGTACTGACAAATGTTAAATCAGACAACTATACTTCGAGATTATCAATAATATATCTAATCAAATATTCAAAATATTTAGTTCTTTTATTAAATTTAATTCATGGCTGTTCTGAATGAAGAGAAATTTGTTTCTTATAATTTTAATTTTACTATAGAGAAATATACTAAATATATATATATATATATATATACACTAAATACAGTCCATATTGCAAATTATTTTAATTTATAAAATTTAAGAATGATTTGTTCGCTCTACATCTCCCTTGCAGTTTGAAAATAAATCTGCACCTGAATTAGTACCATATATGAATACCAACGATGTGAATGAAACTTAACAAATTATCTTCATCCTAACAGTATCACTTTCAACTGTATCAGTGAAATAATCTTTGTCAGCACTAATGTAAATTAATAATTATATAAGAGTAACACAAGTGTAAAAGAGATTAAGCCCACTTAGAATAAACAACTTCTTATGAAAAAGAAAAAGTATTGTTCTGATTTTAAGATGTTATAAAGTAATTAGCTCTCAAAATATAGAAAAGTAGAATTCCCATTTAAATAATACTCATTTCAGTAAATATGATTTAAGTGATCTTTGATCTCAGGCTTATATTGTATTGCCATAAGCCAAATAATACATGAATTTTCAATATAAATTGTTTATATCCATATTGGCTAGAATTTATAAATAATTCTTTGAAGATTTCAACATTAGGCCAAAAACTGATGGATTTCTTAATTTTTAACATTTATACTTGGATATATATAATCCATTTATAATATTCATAAATGGAAATATATAAATACACATCACTAAGTATTAAATACACATAATGGTAACCCCATTCGTTAATACAGATATAGAAATCATTTTTACAGTATCACAGGCTTAAAAATATGAAATAATTAGTAAACAAGCTCACTCTAACTGCATAATCCACTCGTATTAGGCAGCAATTAATGATTGAAGGAGTGACAGCTGGGATTTTTAAAAGCTGAGCATCCCAACTCGTAGTTCTTCCAGGCTGAATGGCCAGACCTGTAACAATTGTATATTTGCTGTGTCTAGTTCGAGACTTCCCACCAGCTAAAAATGTTTGTGTCTGGTGAAGTGTGGCATGAGGTATGATGGTACGGCTAGAAAGGTTTTCAAAATCTGCAGTAATAGCTATGGACTCACCTGTAAAAAACAGTTCATGATGAAAAATCCCATACAAAGAATTCGTTTTTAGTAATTGTTATAAAAAAAATAATGTTTTCAATATTATGTAAAAATCATAATAACTGAATTTTGAGTCTCCCAGTACATGTATAAATAATATACATCAATAAACTAAATTATGAATTTCTCTCCCATCACTTTTTGATGTGAAATCAATGCTAAAAATATTTATAACCTATTAACTGTATGGGAATTTGAAATGAAAGCATTTTCACTTTCATAGATAAAAATATGATGTAACAGATGGCAAACATTCAGATATAAAAAATAAATTAAAAGAATGTATCTGCTTTCACAGCAATACTTAATTAGTGCTTTATATTTTTTAGAACTTCTACGTCTGCTTTACTTATATAGCTTACTAACTTCTAGCAAACTTGTACAATGGATCTCTGAGAAGCATGCCTGTAATTTCTCTAAATGGATAGAGACTTATGATATGTTATCTGTGATGCTTCAATATAAGCAGCAATGGATAAAGGAGAATTTCTGTCAGCTAAAGATGTAGTTCTGAGCAACAAAAAATTGTGAATGCATGAGAAAATAGGCATGCCAAAAAAGAAAAGTATCACCAAATTTAACATTACATGAGAGCTTTTTATTATTCTAAAAAAATCTTCAGTGATACAAAATCATCTTCGGAAAGAGAGAATGTTGGTACATACATCATTCATATGATATTGCCATGAGGAAGAATGAGTGATGATCAGGAAGCACAGATTAAATTTAGAAGTCTTCAAATGCTCAATTTTATATTTAAAGATAACTACATAAATGTACTCTTTCATTTTACATGCCTCAAACAAATATACATGATCCAGAAAGGGTATCAAAGTATATAAGGCAATTAACCACATTTTTATTTTGATACCCATACTGACTCAAGCAAAATATATTACACGCAACATTGATAATGCTGAGCCAATATAAAATGTGATTTTGCAGCAGGCTTTAAGCTCTTTAGATAGTGCACCGGCACCGATTTTCTGGCAAACTCTACTTGCTTAAATTAGATAAGAATGTAACTAAGATAAGGAAACCTAGGACTGGGCTGAAGCCTCTTTCTTCTGGGCCTGTTAATGATTCCTGCTGAATGTATTTTCAAATTAAAAATCTGTGAACTAATATTTCCCGAATATATGTCAGATGGAAATTCTGTTTTTGTATTAGTAGAATCTATACCTAATTACAATTAGCTCAACAGACATTCAATATTTTTGAAATTAGGCAAAAGAAAAAAAAAAAAATAGTTTGCCATAGATTTTGCATTAAACTCTCTCTTAAAGTTACATGGTTTCATTCAAAATCTAAAAAGAAAATAAAGTTTCATTTTTTGCTTAATTTTAAATTTTACATAGGTATATTTCTCTTCAAATAAAAAAACTGAGATTCTTTAAAAGCTGAACTAAACATTGCATAGCTTCTGCTATGTTCGTTACTTTACTTAAGGAAGTTTTTTACCAGCCTATGATACTTGTGAATTCAGACATTTATGGTTTTCTGCTTTCAGTTTTTCTAGTGCTTAATGATAACTTTCTAATCAAAAGTATTATATCTAGACAATGAGAGTCATGTCATATATTTCAATAAAACATAAACAAATACAAATACCAAATAACGTGCTAAACTTTTTTTTTTTTTGACAAAAAAGTAGCACTATTATAACTTTTTACATGCATTAAAGCCATGCCTAATTTTGTCATCTGATTAGCAATACTTGAATTTTGAATCTACTATAGCCATGAAATGTTAATGAATATCAGTTTCCTTATACTATCATAATTCACCACTGATAATTATTAGATAGAATTAAGACACTTGCAGACTTTCAAATTTAGATAGAATTAAAACACTTCAAATCATTGCATACGAATCAGGAATATAAGACCAGAGCCAAAATTTATAATATTATTTATAGATAGTTCCATATGCTATCAAAGAAAAGACTAAAGATAGAAATAATTTCAGAAAATATACCAGGGTTTGTACATATTTCTGCACACAGAAATTAAGTACTTTTAAGGACTTTTAAGGACCATTAATGAAAAAAATTAAGGATTTATGAGCAAATGGGAACTGAATAAATTCAATTAAAAAATATTATCCATGCCTGAATTTCACTTTTGTAATACCATCCTAAAATGAAATAGATCCCTAAGTAGTATGCATTATTACTAAACATGAATTAATTAACATAATTATTAATAAGTTTGAGAATAAAATAAACTTTATGCAATTTATCAAGTAGCATTAAATATTGACACTTATAATAGTTGGACATATTTGAAAGAAATAAGTGACATTTACGTTTTACAAACAGTTAGCTTTATGTTGATTTTTTGTCTCGTTTTGTCGCATATTTGGTCAGTCTAGAGGTTTAGTAAATAGCAGGTAGATTTTATGTATAATGGCATAGGTTAAAATAAGAAGTTAGATCATAATGAGCATGATTCTTAACCCAAAAGACTGAATGTTGTCACCACTGCTGCTTGTCTAGAGAGAGACCTGCTGATTAGAACTAACCTGAAAGGCTTGACGCAGAAACGGTTGACAAGTGTTGAAAGTTAGTCAGGCTCTGTTTGATGCAGTTAGTGTCGTAGCTTCGTGTAGAGTTCCAGAGATTGTAACCCAGTTGATATACTTTAAGGTTCCAATAAGCCATTAAAGCACCAGAGGTGATAAACTGTTTTGCATTATTTTAAATCTCACTAGATGCAAAGAATAAGTTTTACTTGGATTTTTACACTTTTTTATTTTATCTTGTGACCACAGTGAGTATTAATGAAAGGCAATAACTCACTTTAACATATAAGGATAATTTTTAAGGGGATTAAATTAGGTATTTTGATAATCTTAGTCATTATGGATTTACATGGCCACAATTAAATTTTAGTTTTTAACAATATTTGTTAAAAAAACACTATTAAAATCAAAATCTAATAACATTTCCCAGTTTAAAATACACGTCATTTATTACATTAGAATAATTACACTTTAAAAGCTACAAAACATTTATGTCTTCTAACAACAACACTCAAAAAATATTTATCCGTCATTTTAATTTGAAGCCTTCCCAAACATTTTGGCTACTTTATATCGATTTCTTTCTCTTTAAGCATCCTTTCTAACAATTAAAGATTTGTCTCACTATGCAAACCAATGCTCTCGCTAGTTTCTGCATGCTTGTCAACCTCTCCACAATGTACCTATGAGGGTTTATTTGATCTGGTAAGTTAAATAGTCTGAAACCTCCAAAAGATGTGAAGCATATTATCGCTATGTCTGAAAGTATTTACAATATCAGACAAACATTTAAATAAGCTTCTTATTTAAAAAGAACTTAGAACATAAAGACATTTTCTGATGCTAACAAAATCAATTACGGCTCACGGTGACGTAATTAAACAAGAGCAGCCTAATTCAAACTAAAAATGTGGACTAGTGGTCAAAGATTATACAATTTAATTTGGCTCAGTAACTCTATCATATGAGGAAATAGAAGTGGGAAATTATAGTAAAGGCTCAAATTATAAACTATTGGGTAATTTACATAATAATAACTGCACATATCTTTGAAGAATAATTTTCTTTATGTATTCAATTTCTTTCTTCAACATGTTTCTTTTTCATTTTAGAATGTTTGGATTTAATTAAGGATTTCTGTTATTATAAAACACACTAAATGCATTTAGAATTTATACAAAAGGCAGCTAATTTTATTTCTTTAGTAATATGAACATTCAAAAGAAATATAAAACATATATTGTAAATGCCGGTTACAGAGCTGATGTGCCAGAATTTTTAGAATTTAGTGACACACCAAACAACAAAATCTAGAAATGGCAAAACTTTTACAATTTAGAACAGACATTGGAAGCAGAACATAGAAGGGCAATAGGCAGCACAATTTAGGATCCACAGAGATTGCATCAGGTGGAAAAATGTGTACCAGCTCTGTGTATGATGCATTAAGATATATTAGATTAATCTTTTAAATTGTAAGTTTTCAATTTATTTATTAATAAAAACATCCCTATCTATAATGCGTGCCCATGTGATAAGATTAGAAGCGTTTTTGATATTTTCCATGCTTGTTTCTAGTGAAAAGTAGAGAAAATAAAGGGAAGATAAACATGTAAAGATTCTAGAATCAGAAGTAAAATATTCAAATATTATGTTTTCATTGTCCTTCCAGACATTCTCCAAAAAGTAAGAAATTCATTGCAAACTTTCTGTAAAATACATCCGTTACGTGTTGATACCATGGAGACAGTTTTCATTTTTTAACATATTTCTCGAATCTTCTAGAATCTTGGGTCTATAAATCTTGCCTTCAAATCCTTCTAAACTTTCCAAACTGCAATGTCTAAAATCCTAAAGAAAAATTTCCCCTACCATTTCTGTAACAGCAAAAAGATACGAAATATTTCGGGAAAAAAAAAAAAAAAAAAAAAAGAGGAAAAAAGTATAAAATTAATTTTATAGAGAAAACTGATGTCCATTATGAGAATTTTGAATAATCCGAGACAATTAATTACATGGGGAAAAACTCTTACTATGAAAAAATTAAAAACAAGATATTGTTAATTAATTACATAGCTAATTTTGCTTTTGCTAAGAGCTGTTTCGTAAATTGTGCATTATAGCATTATACCTTATTTATTTTTCAGATTAAAAATATTGTATAATAAGTTGCCAAAATGAAACTTTATAATATGACAGCAAAAAATAATAATGTTTTATTTTATTCTTATATTTTAAACATAATTTCAATATATTACCATTATTTTAATGAAATTTATCAATGTTACGATGTTTTAAAAAAAATCGTCGAAAAATTCTCAGATCTCGGAATTAAAAATTTTCTATAGAAACTAATCTTAAAATCGCCAAAATGTTGATAAGTTGCCAAATTTAGAACCGTTAATGAAAAAATTCACATCCCCAAAGCGAGAAGT